GACAGATCACGCAGTTTTTTGAGGTGCACAAACGATCGTAGAGACTGTTTCGAACTAACTGGCGGCGTAGAGTATTGGGTGGGAAATAAATAATCGTTACACAATTTTCAAGACCACTTTTCCTTAAACACCTCTTGATGGCGTAACATACTTCATTTGATATGAAAAGTAGCCTAAAAAAGATCTTACTTTCTCCAGAAACATTATTTTGGAGAACAACCTCGCGTTTTTGTCTAACAAGAGTGGCTTGTACTTCGTAGCCATTGAAGATGGCTATTTTTCTTGCCAAGTTTAGCGATTCTTTCCTTTCCTCTTTTCCTGTGCACACATTTTTAGCAGTACGGTACATATTTTTGATAAGTGCTTTTTTCATGTGTGAAGGATGAGAGGAGAGGCAGTGGACTAGAATGTTTTTACTACTTGGCTTGCGATACCATTTTGTTACATAGCCACTTTTTGAGAGCTTAATTTGGATGTTTAAGAATGGAAGCCAGTTTTCGGTTGGTTTTTCTCGAGTAAATTTTATATACGCTGACTGTCGGTTTAACAATTTAAAGCACTCGTCCATCTGTTCCTGTGTGGAGCAGACGATGAAGCAGTCTTCTATGTATCGACAGTAGAGTAAGGGTAGGTGATCTAGAACTGGAGCTTCCACCCTAGACATGTAAGCGACGGCACGGCTTGGTGCTAAACGCAGTCCCATGGCCAATCCTCTAATTTGTGCAAAATATTTTCCAGACCACCTGAAGATTGAACAACTAAGACAACGTTTTAAGAGAGTCATTAGTTGCACAAACGACAAACCGTACATTTTTACCTTCTTTTCCTGCTCTACGAGCAACTCGAGAACGGCTTGCATTGCGGAGTAATTCAACAGTTAGTATAAAGTGAAGTAACATCGAATGACTCCATTACATGCATGTTGTTTGGTTGCGCCCACCGTAGGTGGTCTAGGAATATTTTGGTGTTAGGTAGATAGGTTGGAATGAATTTTAGCAACTGGGTCAGGATAAGGTTTAGGAACCATGTTATTCTATCCATTGGCCCGCTTATACAACTGATGATAGGTCTAACTTTATATGATGATGGGTTCGTTGACGTAATATCATCAGTGAAAGTAAGCTTATGTGTTTTAATAAGCAAGTAAAGGACAGGGCCAACTGGATGTTCGTTTTTAAGTCGAGAAATCACTGAAGGCTCTAAACTCGTGGCCCTTGCCGTGTTGACCCATTTTTGATTTAATTTTCGGTATTGATTTCTATATTCCTTTTCATAGGATGTTCGATAGAGAGAATCACCGTTGAAGTGCTCCTTTGTTATTCTAATATCCAGCTAGGACTAGGAATAATCACAAATTCTCCACCTTCACTGATAGAAAAACTAACAGATTTTGAATTCAAGAGCTCTCTAATCTAGCACATACCACAGTTTTGTTGGCGTGTGAGGTTGGAGCTTCTTTTTCGTTTTTGGTAGTGATTAAATATACGGAGAATTTCGTCCGAAAATAAAACGAAATGTAGAGTCAATATCGCTATTTGGTAGCTCTTGTTTAAATAATGTTCCGGGAAAAGGTATTGATGGGAGTTCTCCCCTTGGTACTACTTTACCTAACGTTTCTAGCCTAACTCTGTAACGTAGCTGATCTTGAAGTTCGTGTAGACTACACGTGGTCCTGGGCAGGATTGGTTTAGAACTAGGCTGGCTAGGTGAGAAACTCGGACCCAATTCTAACAAGGAACGCACGTTTTTCGGAAGCGTTATGCCTCCTTGCACAGTAACTCTGGATGCTCTTGGTGCGCAGTCTATTTCAGGGTTTTTACTTCCAGCTTGACCAGCTGTGGTTCTGTGATTTGACCTTTTTGCTCGTCGCGATAGATCTTTAAACTTTTTCCTTAACTTGCTCTTAATATCACACCGAATCATTTCGCATACCGATTTAAACCCAGCTACTATTCTCTTCCAGTGATTCCTCTCCAAATGCTGAGCACAACTGTTTTCTTTCTAAACACATTTGTTTAATAGTGAAAACATTTCGTTTTGTGTGCATCGCAGTGAAATGCGTAGCAGTTTTACTTCGATGCTCAGCATTCGTTGAGAGCTCTCTGGTAAGCCGCATACTTCGTATAATTTCTTATGTTTTATCATGTTAGGAATAATTCGATGTTTTAAGCAGCTGCGTAGAAAGTGGGTCTTTTGTCGCATTTAGACGATTTTCTGTCCTAATGGCAATACGTCTATTACAAGTTGGAAATATTTTGCATCAGCTAAAGAAGATCAGTTTATAAGGTCATATAAATAAAAATATTGAGAGATATTTACTCCGTTGAGAATGAATGGGACGTGCACAATCAATTCATTCCTCATGAAAATTGTCTTTGTGAGATTTAGTCGAAGACCAATCTTTCCACCAGCCTTTATCAAAGTCGGCAAGCATTCTATCATTCTAGCTAATGCTTGGTTTTATCAGAACGATGTCATCACCAAAGCGAAAATGGTGTAGTTGTTGACCATTGGTATTCACTCCCATATTTTCCCATTCCATTATTAGTTTTACGTTTTCGAGGGTGGTGGTAAATAATTTTGGCGAGATGGTTTCGCCTTGCCTAACCCCTCTCTTGTTTTCGATGATAATATTGTTGTGGAATGGCGATATTTCGGTGGGGCAGCTTTATATAGCTCGTGAAGAAACTTAATGTACCGAGTGGGGAGGCAGTGGCTCTCTAGGCATTCATCACTTCGACTTCTATCTTAACAGACTCAAAAGCTTTCCATAAATCGATGAAAGAGAACTAGAGCGGTCTCTTGTTCCTTCACGATACTTCTATGAGTCTTGCCACTGCGTGGGTGTTATCTACCACGTCCTTCGTCCAGTGTTCTGTTAATCCTCTTTAGGAGGACTTGAGTGAAGAGTTTCAATAGATGACAGATACCAAGTAAATTGGGCGATCGTTGCCGATATCGTGGACGCCATCCCTTTTGAACAACAACACAGACTTACTGGTTTTCTGTTGAATAGGAACCTGGCATTCTGAGGGGGTAACGTATGAAGAGCCGAGCCTGTGTGTTGATGAGGGCTGGTGGAAGTTTGTGCAGGCGTTTAGATCTTATCCTCTTTGGACGTAAGATGTTACGTAGGTTGCAAGAAACACATGTAAACTGTGGCTTTCGGTTTTAAGAAAATTGGTAGTAAAATTATCGCGTTCTGGAGCTGTGTTTTTCTTCATCCTTTCGGTCACTACCAAATCCACACATGGTACGGTCAGGATAAGATCTGAACGCCTGAAAAAACTTCCACCAGTCCTCATTAACACGCTGGCTCGGCTCTTCATACGTTACTCGTCAGAATGCCAGGTTCCTATTCAACAGAAAATCAGTAGGACTATGTTATTGTTCAAAAAGGGTGGCCTCCATGATATCGGCAGCTATCGCCCAATCTGCTTGCTGTCTGTCGTCTACAAACTTTTCACTCGAGTCATCCAAAACAGGTTTGATAGAACACTAGACGAAGGACAGCCATGTGAGTAAGCAGGATTTCGAAAAGGTTTTAGTACGATGGACCACATCCACACGGTAACAAGGCTCATTGAAGTATCACGAGAGTACAAAAGACCGCTCTGCCTCACCTTCATCGATTTACAGGCCCTTGATTCAGTTGAGATAGAAGCAATCTTGGATGCCCTTGATAGTCAAGGAGTCTTTACTCAGTACATAAAGATTCTTCGCGCGCTGTACAAAAATTTCAAATCAAGATATCGCCATTCTACAGCGATGTTAACATTGACGTCAAAAAATCGATAGTCGACAACTACATCATCCTCGATTTGCTGGTGACATCGCCTCTATAATATCAAGGCGTTAGTCGGGCGGAACAAACGCTAGCCGACTTTGATAGCATTTGTGGAAAGATTGGCCTTCGCGTAAATCTTACATAAACAATTTTCAAGAGGAAAAGATTGGTTTCTTATGTCTTGTTCACTCTCACTGAAATGAAAGTCTCTAAATGCTCCAGCTTCGTCTATCTAGGCTAGAAGATCAACAAGGTGAATGAGTTAGCTCCAGATCTCAGCAAAAGGAAGTGAGGTGTTTGGAGAAATTTCGAGAACCCCGAAGATGAGGCGTGAAGAACGAAGAAGTCTCAACTCTGTTCCCACTTTTTTGACTCTACGATTCTTTCTACAGTAGCGTGTGTGCCTGGGAAGCCTCATTGCTACGTTGTCAGAATGAAAGATCACTCAGCCTTATGGAATGCGTGGTGGAAGTAGCGATGCTTGAACTATCTGTATCACCAAGTGATAGGGGAGATCCGAATCCCAACTTAGGTCAACGGCAAACGAGCAAAGACCATTTGCTGTATGTCAAATTGTCGAAAATAAGGTGGGCCAGATACGTCGTGTTTCTGAACGATGTCCGGTGGAAAGAAGCTGTCAGTGACTGGATTTCTGCTAGTGTTTCAGACGCAAAACAGGAAGGTCGGTGATCCGATGTTGAGAATTCTTCATGAAACCGCTGGAAGAAAAGCGTGCTGCTCAACGAGTCCCTCGACAGAGCAGAACCCATTGGACTTCTTTTGTACGCTACAAGGTAAAATGGAAGATTTACTGCTGCCCGCTCGAGTAACTCGATTACCAATGGAACGGCAGGCGATACATGTGATTCACTTACTGCTTTAGCCCAGTTAACAATGATTCGCAACTGAGATAGCTGACAATCAACAGACCGGTTGATTGAACTCTGGACATGGATGGAAATCGCAATAGTCTAAGTCTATGTGTGAAGAATCTGATGTCAGATTGATAAAGCCGAACACAAGGCGAATCCGTAAGGGGTTGAACACCGCCGAAAGCTATGTCCTTTATCGGCTTGTTGAGATGTTCACCAAAAATTCATCATCGTATGTGAAATGCTCAAAGGGTTTCATTTCGCTGTAGAAATACAAACAGAGCTTTTTAAAAACCAATGATACAACTAGAAACGTGTACCTACAACGGTACAGAGAATTTCTACACAAAGGCCATTGAACCAGCACAAATGACAATTTCAACACAAACATAAATGGATCGGAACATCACTAAAACAGAGGTAAGCCATTTTGAACGCCAATCTATATCAATCGACATGAACGACTGAAGGATCCCACGGAGTTTGAGGGTAATGCCTGTGACCACTTGTTCATTCCGTGCTTCCTGTTGAAATAGCACTGGAATCAGCAGAAATTATAAGCATGAATTCGAAGATTTCCTGGTATTAAAAAGATGCGCTCTTGCTGTTCACCACTTACGGACGTCAGCTTGTGCAAAGATAAGAATAACACAGATCTCTGACCTGATCACGCGGTACCAATCGTTAAAGGCTTTGTTTAAGACGGCACACTGATCGGGATCGAAGCCAAGACGAGCAAATGTCTAAAACTATTTCTTGAACAAAAAGCTCTATTCACTCATAAATAAACAAGCACGCTTGTTTTGAAGTCATCAGCAGGAAAGTCGTTAGTTAAGGCGCGAGTAGACAGCAAGAACCTCGTGTGTTCGGATAGGAATATTACTGGTAACTAGTGCTGATACTATGAAGCGTACAGAAAGCGGCAAAGAGTACAGCGGAGTAAAAAGATATTAATAGAGAATTCACTGACGTCACGGCGATAAACACTAGCGAGATCACCCATCGTGAAGATCGACTGACTTTCGAACTTGTCAGCATGCGAAGCAAGTCCTATGCTTCGTTTAGTGAGCCACCTAAACCTTAAGAGATGGAAACTAGTCACAAAACTGTCGGACTCGGAAATTCATTCCGGCAGTTACCTGCCGATGTTTTACCAGAATATTTAATAGAAAACATAAAGCCTAATCATTAAAATTACGCACGCTTTGATAAGAGTGCCGCGTGTTACCACACAGATATCTTGGAATGGATTTCCCTCTATCTCCATGCAAATCAATTGATCGAATTTTTCCTCGTGTTGTAGGAACCACAGGCATTTGAGCGCCTTTTCTGGGTCGTTGAACTACAACGATTTGTAAATGTCAACGAAAATGTGCAAAAAACACTATGAACTAGTACATTAACTGAAGCTTCTCGTTGTGAGAGAAAGCAAACCTACATGAAGTTCGATTTGATGGCTAGGGCCAACAGGGTGCTTTTCGAAATGGACACGCTTGCTTTTACCATTACCAGCTCTCTGAAGCATCTCACGTTTGGTCAATTTGTTAACTTCGACAAAAATATGCAAAAAAGAAACATTATGAACCAGCCAATTCACTGAAAGTTCTCGTTGTGAGAAAAACCAAACTCACACGAAATTTGTTCTGATGGCTAGAGCGAACAGGATACCTTTCGGAACGGACTCTCTTGCTTTTACCATTACCACCTCTCTGAAGCTTCTCGCGCTGAATCACTTGACCTGAGCAGGTAATGATCGTTTTGTAGAAATGAAAGGCCAATATTTAATCAGCAACAACGAGGCTGCCATGAGTTAAGCTATGTTGCCTTTGATTGTGGGATTGCCACCTCTAAATCTCACAACAGGCACAGTCTTTCCTAAACAAAAATATTTTGTCGTGTGAGTGACCAGTGAGATACGCATGCGGCGTAAATGGGCTCCTTGAGAAAACGAGTGATATGTAAAGGTAGGTAGAAGTACAATAGAGATATTACGCAAGTGACTCCAGAAATCTTGCGACATATTCCAAAAAGCGATAAATGCCTTCAATGCAGTAAGCACTTCCTGACAGCTGCTATTACGCTGACGTGAAAATAGTGGCCGTTCTGGTTATCACGAAAATTGTGAACAATTTGTGTAATGAATATTTCCTGCACGCGTTGTTTTACGCACCAACCATTTTTTCTCAAACTTAGTTTACAGATATTTGCAAAACACCGGACCGCAGGTGTCTGCGGTGGGGAACGAACGCGCTGTTGTATAATTTAAACTACTGTAAAATAGCGCGCTCGTTCCCACCGCAGACACCTGCGGTCCGGGGTTTTGCAAATATCTCAGCATCATTGAAGTTATATTTCGCAATATATACCCTACCATTAAAAAAAGAAGGCAGTAAATAATAAGCTAAAATTAGTTTACAGACTTGGGCTCACTGAAATGATGACCTTACGTCATGAAAATTGCGTCATTTTGCTTCATGAGCTTATATAAACATAAAGCAATAGCTGAAGTTCTAAATGTCAGCTAAGCGTTGATCACAGAAGTGCTTCCATAAGTAACTCGAAGAGTTTTTACTTTCTGCCTAATGACATTGAAGGCCTAGTGAGCGCATCAGTAATCAGCAACGACAAAACAGTGAAGGCGACGATAGAAGCTTTTAGTCCACAAACTACTTGACATGTTATAGAAAGGCTCAAAAGTCAGAAATAAGCAATCGTTTCCGTTTGCTAAAAAGCGAAAAGGAGCCGCCGATAGATGAATGTCGAATTAACCGAAAGAATGGCTAGGAGATTTTCGCTAGTATGTCTCTTTTGCACTTCTTTTACATAACGAAAGGGACCTATGTCGTTCCCATACGATACAAGACGAGGTCTCGCAGGGAGGTTTGAATGATACAGTGCTCCTAGACATTTCGCAAAGCCGAATGTATGCAACGGCGTAATTGTGAAAACACAGAGCCAGTCGCATGGAATAACTGCTCTGGACATTCGCCTCGAATGATCGTGGTTCTAAGAAAGGTGATAGTATCGAAATGTCAGCCAAAATTAGCGACAATCTCATCTAAGCATAACAGTAGATCCGGGCAATAATTGTCTACGCTAAGGCTAAACGAAGGTCGGCATTAGAAATTAAAAGCTGTAACGTCTCTGTAGGTTCCATTTTCTTTCCTTAGAGGTTAAAGCAATGCGAAAATAATACAATTTCATGAACACATACTTCTTAAACAGAAATGAAAACCAAGCGTTCTTACTATTAGGCACTATTCCAACATCATGTTCGAAGAATCTCTCATCATCCCTGGATGCATCGCGCGAAGGGATGGAACAAACTTTGAAAGGAATCCTCATCGTCTCCACTCGCATTTCATCTCTTCAACAAATTAATGTTAAAAGTGTTGGACCAATCCTCCAAACATTACTCCTATATGACAAATATCAAGCGAGGTACTGCTTTGAAAATGTCACATTTATGTATGCAGTGCAAATTTAAGACGAACTAGTGTCCACATTGCTGACGTTCAGTGAGTTAACAAAAGTGTGAGAAAGCTGTGATAAATTAAAGGGTCTAAGTTAAGCAAAGTCACGGAGAAATTCCCACGAAAATGAACAGTGTACCTATCTTTCGTCATGAATAGGACCAACGAAACGATTTACACAATGGATGCTTTAGCATCAGTCAGAATATCTTGGCGATATTATGTCTCAAATTAATTTGGAAATGATGGAATGATAACTTACACTCCTTCAAGTGTGAAGGTGAGCTGAACTGGACGACGGTTGATGCCACCAGCACAGGAGCTGAAGCATGTGAACATGAAAGCAGTCGTCTGGCACACAGGAATACGCAGCGCATAATTCTCATTGGAATCGAGATATTCAGTCTGCGCATGGTCACATCTCACGAAATTCATCTTCATATCACTGACTGAAAAACAAAATGGGTTCGCTTTCATACAAATGTATGTAGCAGTTAGGACACTCACAATCCTTTGCCAAGTGATTCGGACAACGCTCAACGGGCATGCCCTTTAGTGAGTTATCCACATACTCAGCACAAACACGTATGTGTGATGAAGGACCGCATCTTGTGGGAAAGGAGAACGTGAAGGGCACCATAGTATCCACTTTGCAATACAAAGTTCTGCCATGCTTAGCTGTAGCCTCCTGAATAATTTTCAGTAAGGCAATTCACTCCAAACAGTGCTAGCGAAATATGAATTGTACAGCGTTCTCGACTACTACTTGAATAAATTCGTGATCGTGGAGACCAAGCAAACACGCCGTGAATAAGATCAACGCTGAGAAATTACTGTATAACGAAAGCAGTTACAAATATTTAACGAACCCCAAGAACATAATCCAAATTTCTAGACGATTTTGACTGTGGAATTACACCCACCATGAAAGGTTTGTTCTCCCTGAAATTACGTACTACACCTAAACATCAGTTACCAAGTGTTTGACCAAACTAAGGAAAGAGATTGAAGGCACAACAACGAACTCGGTGCTATTAGGAACTAGGTGCTGGTAAACACAATCCTGTGAAGGTGTTAATGTAGCAGAACTGCCAATTTGCGTGTTGAGCACCAAAGGAACCTCTTCGGATTCATTGCCACCCTATAAACAAACAAATAAGTGTTCTCACCTAAACTGGAACAACTGCACTACGATTCTGAAAACCAGCACTAAGCCTGTGAGTGCGGTAAGAAGGTTGTGATTAAAAAAAGCTTGTGAGTGTACTTGAGAGGTATTGAGAAACCTCTCCTGTTAGTGAAATTCAAAACGACCTTCTTCGTTCTCAGTGAACAAATTAGCTCAACTCATTCATAAACACTGATAGGCAACAGATAGAGTAAAACTCCTATTGTAGCACTTGTCATGGCATAAATTTTTAGAGTACTACACAGCACTTGTTTGCAAAAAAAGTGATATCTACTTCGATGAGAGCTTATGAATTCACTGCTATTTATATAACTGTGTAAAATTACGTTAATTGAGTAAAAACACTGAAGTCTTCTTTCACAATAAACGGCGCGATGGTTAGGGATTACGGAAAACGGACGGTGCTTGAGAGAAGCTGAGACAAACACGTTTAAAACACATTCGCGATGACATGGACACCACATTTTCGACGATTCTGTACGATGTGGACATTATTATGGAGACTGTAATGTTACGCGTTACTCTCCAGAAAGGACAATAGCGCGTTCGTTCCCCAATGCAGACACCTGCGGTCCGGAGTTTTGCAAATATCTCAGCATTATAGTAGTTGTATTTCGCAAAATACCCTGCCGTTAAAAAGAATAGGCGGTAAATAAAAAGGTTAAGACTGTAAGGTCAATTTTTCTTCAGTGGCTTTCGGAATTTGTTCTTAGCATGCTATGTATTCATTCGACAGCCAATGGAAAGCGGATCATCAGCGTAGAGATGAGACCCGAAAATCCATTCTCTATACTTAATAATTTGGAAACTTTTTCCTACAAGTTCATTGGTCGATAATTTCAGTAACATGTTGCTGTTATTTAACGGTGATGAATCATAAGAGGGTATGTAGCTCAGTGGTTAGAGGCGCACAGCAATGCACATGACACCGTGCCTCAGGCTCACCAAGCCCTTTATCCTTTCGGGGTGGACAAACTGTACCGAACCTGTCTAGGAGGATAGTAGCACCAACTCAATAAATCGGTAGGCCACGTTAAGTCATTCTACAGACTGGGCATGCATTTGACCACTTCTGATGATGCTGGACGACATCGAATGTATGGTGTTGATCAACGCCGAGAACTCTAGCTTTTTATGGTGAATAATGGCTATTTCATTGAATGAATGGGTGTAAGAAATACCGAAATAGACTCAAGACGATTTACCAAACAATACCAAAAGCTGACAGCAATATGCTTGCATAATGTACCGCCGTTTTTTATTTATTATTTAGCGACCCATCTTCGCTTCTACTGTGCGAATTCCAGCACTTCTCATGTACGATTCGTTTCCTCTAATCGAATTTCCACGAAGTTCTCCCAACTTTTACGTGTGGCCTCGGCTGCTGCTTGAGGAATTCCATATATCGTAGAGTGCTGGTCAGGTCGATTCTCCTTTGAGTCCTACGATGGGCGGGCTGGAGCATTCCCTATTGGATTGCGAAGAGTGATTTTTTTGCCGAACAAGTCCTGTATCAATGGACCTAGGACAGGATATCAATTGCCTTATCCTAATCCTGTATCAAGTCCTGTATACCAATGGACCATAGCAGAACACAGCAGATACTCGCCAACACTGCACTCGTACCGATGGAACGATGGAACAAAGTCTTTTCTACAAGGCGACGCCGGCTGGTTATGTTTGCAAGAAACGAATCGAAAATAATGCAACATTATAACCTGTGAAAGCGTTCTCAAAAAGTGGCAATGGATCGCAGTGCACATCTTCCTTGGAAATTTTTGTAACCCTGATAGAAAACACAAGTATCACTCATGAATGCAATATCACTGTTCTAATTCACATCTGTCTCACAAAAAAAACTTCATAATTGCTGTCATGTATCCATATGAAATCAAGCATGCACCACACCGGACGTCAACCTTAATCTTAGAGGTCTCACTGGAGTCCAACGCGCGCAGTTTTCCTAATACTATCCAGAGATATAAGTCTTCTGTCTCACATGGACAACGATGCACTCGCATATACGACCTTTAATGTAAACCACCTCTACTCTGCTTACACATCAGTCTCTCAAACAGTGAGGGAACTGGCATACCTTGCAATTGCGAGCGAATAAAACGACAATAACTAACCCGAACGAGCGTCTACTGCCTAGAGGTCCCCTTCAACAGGTGTTTTCCCCCATCTATTAATAGAATCAAAATGAAAAAAAGTTAAAAGCTTTTTAGAGCGGGAGCCCATATAAGAAAGGAAACCCTTCTACTGTTCAAACACATACGCTTCGACCTCAGGGGAAATGAAGGACCCGCATGGCGTGGTGGTGAACGCGTTAGCCCTCGGGAGAGAATAATAGCACGTTCGTTCCCCACCGCAGACACCTACGATCCGAAGTATTGCAAATATCTCAGCATTATTGTAGTTGTATTTCGCATCATACCCTACCGTGAAAAATTGTAGTCGGCAGCAAATAAAGAGTTATCATTGTGATTTTAACTACAGCCTTAGCATAACTGGGTTCATTGCCGGCTTGCGCTCCCCAGAACAATCCTTTGACGGGTTATTGCTGATAGAACTAATCAATAGAAATAGCTGAAAGACAGGTGAAACGATGGACCGGCATAGTGTGGTGGTGAACGCGTTAGCCCCCGGAAAGGGTGATGGAGCGTTCGTCCCCTACCGCAGACACAGACGGTCCGGAATTTTGCAAATATCTCAGCAACACTGTGGTTGTGTTTCGACCACACTTGAGAAAGGATGCATAGACCTTTGCACTATTGATTTATGAAGAACAGAGATGTGTTTTAAAGCGGTAATTAGTTAATAATTTTCGCTGTCTTCTCACTACGGTCTCGGTTGAGTAGTTCAGGTGAGTTTCATCACTATAGCCATGCAATAAAGATGTTGTGATTCTAATCTTCATAAATATTCTATCTGAAAAACTGTTTTATTGCCTATCAAGAGGAGTAGGTAATACTATCGACATTGTCATGTTCAACATACAAGCATTCAAATATTCTTTGTGATTCTACAGGAACCTCCCATCACTCACCTACTTGGCTTCCCTAGACTTTTGTAATTTGAATGACCAAATACCCATAGAGGATCAACAAAAAGATCAATTTGAACGCAAACCCTTTTTCACCATTCTTCTCAGTCTTGTGTTCAGGCACTTACAGTTAGAGCACAAATGATTTCAAGATGTTGTAAACAGCGTCCAACATAAACGCAAGAATTATGCTTAACAGACTCATTTTGAAAACAAAATGTTAGGGCAAAATTTGTGAGCAGTGTACTACAGCTGCAAAGCTTAGAATTCCTAGATCCTCTCACTAATCTATAATATCGATATTCGAAGAATGTGCTATACTATGTACCAGGTTATACTTTTCCTTCGTAGCGTTATAACAGCCTCTTTAAAAATATCGGCTGACAAATTGCTAGGAATGATATTCAAGTAGTCGTGAGCAATTCAATTATGGGCGGAGCAATTTCCAAGATCCGAGAGGCAAAAAAGTGCCTTTCTCAGACTGGCTAGCCCATATTTTTTCTTTCAGTTTTAACGTTAAAGTGTTAATGTTACTCTGAGTCCAAGACACTCTATATTTATTGACCGCAAGTCAAAGGGCAGGCGTGGTTAGCGCTGTGGAAGTTACACGGCGTTCGTTCGACAAAGAACGGCAATAATCAAGCCTCTCATTCCTTCGCCGTAAGGAGATCAATGCCAGACATGTTCTGCAACACTGTATTTTCTACGACCCGTGTGGTAACGGTTCACCCGCTTATACTAGCACTCTGTGGAGAATCGACTGGACCAGTGTCCAATCAGATTTAAAAAAATAACAACATTTCTCAAGCAACAGCTGAACCCACTTTCACTGCGCGGATCCCACCTAAGATAATTCGGGATCCGCATAGCAGATGTGAACACGGGTCTTGAACTTAAAAGCGCGAGAAGCCCGAATATCAGTATCCATCAAATACAGCGTTTTCTTTAGCACCACGTTCGCTGAACTCTTGGTATATTTATTCACCAAAATCGACTAAGTCACTCACCAGTTGAGTTTCTTGATTGATTTCCATGGGGCCGTCGTTTGCATCAACACGGAATGACATCGCATGGGCAGTAATCGGTCCAGTTGTGGGCTCAACCTACAAAGAAATGAAAAGGCTTTCACAGATTACCTTCTTGTCAAGAGTTCGTGTTAAGATGTCACTTCCAGCATATGAAAAGTAGCGTGTTAGGCGCCTGCCGATATCAGCGCTTTAATCAATACTTAGGTCTGAATCGGCACTTAGAAAGGAAACACTACGATTCTACTACCTCGTAGAGCTAGTAGACTTCGTAAGTTGAACCAAATGATTCTTGTACTCGAAAAATCGCGGACTCTATCAACGTGAATATGGTGCTGATAAAGCGAACACGGGTACAGTGTTAGAAGCTAATAATCCTACTGATTTACTGGTTCATTTGCTCATCGAAAGTCGACTAAACGACTCACTAGTTGGGTTTCTTGATTGTCCATACCGTCGCCGTTTTCATCAACACTGAATGACATCGGATGGGCAGTGAACGGTCCACTTGTGGGCTCAACCTACCAAGAAATGAAGAGGATTTCACTGATTACCTTCCCGTCAAGAGTTCGGATATCACTTGTAGCACATGTAAATTAACGTGTTAGGCGCCTTCGCAAGACGAACCAGATATTCGAAAAATCGCGGACTCTATGAACGTGAATGTGGTGCTGTTAAAGCGAACACGGGTACAGTGTTAGAAACTGATAATCCTACTGATTTACTGGTTCATTTGCTCTTCCAAAGTCGATTAAACGACTCACCGGTTGGGTTTCTTGATTGTTCATACCGTCGTCGTTTGCATCATCACTGAATGATATCGGATGGGCAGTCATCGGTCCACTCGCCAACTCGATCTACCAGCAATTGAAGACGACTTCACGAATTGCTTTCTCGTCAGGAGTCACGTGTGAAGATGTCGTATTTACAGGCATGTCAAGCAACGTTTTAACGTGTTCGGCCTCTGCCGGCATCAGAGCATCAATCAACACTGAGATCAAAGTCGGCGTACTGACAAGAGAACATTCCCACTTTTCTTCCATGAAGATCATATGGACTTTCGACATTGAAGGGCAACTTTTGTATTGGAGAAATAACGGACTGTTGTTAAAGCAAGCTTGGGTACACTGTTGTAACTAATATGAAAGGCTTCAAATTCACTCCTGCTTCACGGCTTTTCGTGGTCGCTCTTCTACTTTTCATTCACTTTGCCTTCCTTCCCACCTTTTTCTCCCTCGTTCCTTTTTTTAACCAACTTGTTCGCTTCCCTTAGACCGTCTACCTCTAGTCATTTCGCTCAATGCTATCCCTTCCATGGCTCACTCGTCCTCTTATTTCTTTTTAAACAGTTATTTACTATTGAAATAATTTATTTTCTTATAATTAAGTAATACAATCAAGCGTTTCTACGCTGTTAGACGTTTTTTTCATAGTCAAGAAAAGAGAAAACTATGGGTAGGCAGTTTTCTCGACAAGCTTCTATGACCCTGAACACGGTTTCAGCGTGGTCCATGCAGCAAACCCTTGTCGAAATCTTGCTTGGTCAATTGTTTGCGTCTTGTCCAATGCCCTTGCTATGCGCGAGAGGATAATTTTCGTGAAGAGCATATAGGTTTCGACAAACATATCGGATGATAGTTATGAAGTTCCCTTCGGTCACCTTTCGTGAGCAGGATTATCGTGTATGACGTCCTCCACTTGTCTTGTATTTTTACCCTTTGAAGGTAAGATGTGATATCGTTTATTGGAAGTACATGTGAATTATGGTGTCTATATCTAAACAGTATGGACTTGTCGTCACATCAGTTCTTTTTTCAAAAATGTGGCGTGCCGTTTCGTCGGTGAAGAATCGAGTACCATCTGGTATGGACAGGATAACATCTGAACATCTGTAGGCCTTCTCGCCAGTCCTCATCCACGCACCGATTCTGCTCTTCACACGTTACCGATTGGAATACAGGGTTACTATTCACTGAAAGAGCAGCTGAATTATGTAATTGTTTAAGAAGACAGACCTTCACGATATCGGCAGCTATCGTCTAGTTTGCTTGCTGTCTATTTTCTATAAACTCTTTAACCGACCCATCCTAAACAAGGTTCTGGGAGCACTGAACGAAGGATTGCCATGTGACCAAGAAAAGTTTCGCAAAGGGTTCGGAACGATAGACCACATCCACATAATAACGACAATAAACAAGGTATCGCCACATCCCAACACACCGCTGTACCTCACCTCCATCGGTTTAAGCAAAGCTTTTACTCAGTTATGATAGAACTAGTAATGAAAGCCTTGGACAGGCACAACGTCCTTACTCAGGAACGAGAGCGCGTAAAACTATGCGGGAGCTCTGGACAAATTCTAAGAATCCTAGAATGAAGCACAAGAATGAGTGTCCTGTGGTCAAGCGTGGCCTTGTTGTATAACATGCTCTTCTTTTTATTTAAATTAGGCACATTTCTGGCCCAAGCATGACTCTGTGCGGGCGGCCTCCACCAGATGACTGGAAGACATACAAAAAACAAAAGGCGAGTGCGCAAAAGAAGCTCTTTATTGTCAGAGTCAAAAATGAATGTATAAAATTTTATCTACTAAAGTTATAAAAGTGCTTGCCTGAGTAGATTTCATGACAATTTGACTTTTCCAAGCTCTGAACAAGACAGCGCCGCAGAGGCTTCAGCCTGTATCACCTGTAGTCCCCCATTGATCGACGATTGACTCGAGCGGGCACCAGTAAACCTTTCATCTTTCCCTGTCGTGTGCAAGAGTAGCCCAGTGGGCTCTGCTCGCTCTAGGGACTTGTCGAGCATCATACCCTTCTTTAGGGCTCTTTGTGAAGAACTCTGACCATCTAGTCGGTGGTCTTCCTATAGCACGTTCGACATCCCGAGAAATTCAGTCACTAACGGCTCTTGTCCATCGGTTGTCATTTATACGTATTACGCGTCCGGCCCCCTTATCTCCGACTGTTTGGCGTACAGAACGGCATCTTTAATTTTTGGTCGTTATCGCAGGTCGGAGCTTCGGATTCTATCCCTTACTTGTGTGAAACGGGTACTCCTAGCATCGTCCTTTCGATTGCGCGTTCGATAACGCTGAGTGGCCTTTCGTTCTGCTTACGCAGCGACCATGTTTCCGACACATACGATAGAGCAAAAAGTAACGTTGAATCGAAAAGGTGGGCACGGAGTTGGGTGTTCTTTGTTCTCTTCTCTACATCCCCGATGCTCTTGAAAGCTCCCCAAGCCGCTCGTTTCCTTCTGCTCAGCTCTGGAGCTAGGTCGTTCATCATATTGATTTTCCGACCTAAATAGATATAACTGGAGCATTCGGAGAGACGAGTTCCGTTGAGCGTGAATGGGACATGCGAAAACAATCCGTTCTTTATGAATATCGTTTTTGTGGGATTCAGTCGGCGACCAATCTTTCCACAGGCTTTATCAATGTCGTCAAGAACACGTTCCTCTTGGCTAAGGTTTGGTGTTACAAGGACGATATCATCAGCAAAGCGAAGATGGTGTAACTGCCGACCATCGATTTTCACTCCCATATTACCCCATTCCTATGTTCGCATGACGTTCTGGAGGGTAGCGATAAACAATTTTGGCAAAATGGTATCGCCTTGCTTAATCCTCTTTTGACGTCAATGTTAATATCGTTGTAGAATGTTTCTGGAGACAGACGTCTCTTGGCGACTTTCGAACTCTCAGCTTTCATAGCGCTAGCGTGAAGATGTTGAATGAGCCGTTCGTATTCTTCGTCGATGATATCGACAACGGCATCTTCGCAATAGCCGATGTCGCTAATGAATTGAATAGGTCCCAGTTTGCGGTGGTCATGGGACTTCGGTTTTGAAATTCAGAGGCTTTTTCTCCTTTCTGCGTAAAATAGAATCTTTCACGAAAAAGACGATGGTCTGATCTTGTGTAGAATTTTAAACAACAGCGACATCGGTTAGGCGAACCTTCTATTTACTATGATGTGGTCTATTTCGTTATGGTACTCTCGATTGCGAGACTCCCAACCGAGGAACACTTCTTTTCTGGTATCATAGACGGCGTTGAATGGGTGGCGTCTTCTCGTCCTGGCCACGCCGATGACATCGTACCTTATCCTTCCTGCTTGCATGAGCAAGTGTTCTATCGAGGACTCGGATGCAAGTGTACTTGCATTGTAGGCACAGACCGTCACCATATTTTTTGAAATCCAGGCATCTTCCACTGGCCTTGAGATTTTAGCAGTCTCTCCATACTCGTCCTACCCAACGCTGCAAAAGTGATGGCTCTTTCGAGGTCAGAGTAATGAGGCCCGTTTTTTTTTTTAGCATTTTAGCATTTTTGATACCCACATATAGCTTGCTGGGCTCTGAACGTGGAGGCTGGGTATACTCACGGTTAGCCTGCTACGCTCTCCCAGAGTGGACATGGATTGTATTTGTTCGAGGCAACTCCTAATCTGCTCCCATACACTTCCCTGCCACTTGATTACAGGCTTTCGGCAGAATTGACTCGTAGAATACAATCCGCATAACTTGTAACGCAACCACACACGCGTGCATGAATACGCTTCATAAATATAGAAAGTATGTGTCAAATCAGAGCAGCAGAAACAGGGAGTCCAACCCTAGATCCACCTGCGTCTCATGGAAGCAAAGGTCGCTTTTGTTCCGGGATTAACACCCTATCCGCCACCTGGAGACGCTCCACGTAGCCTCGCGACTAACCGTCTCGAGATCTCTCATATCAGTGAGATCCGTGGTCATATGAGGGTGTCAGTGGTTAGGAACCATGTTATTTTATCCGTTGGTTTGTTTACATAGGTAATGACAGGTCTAACCATAGACAATAATGGTTTGCTAGACGCAAGATCGTCAGTGGTTATTAACCTATGAGTGTTGACAAGTAAGTAACACAGTAACACAGAACGTGTTGGTAATCCAACTTTGAGTTGAGAGATAGCTCCTTAATCACTATCGGTCTTCGCGCTGTCTCTTTGCGCGATAGTGATTAAGGAGTTTGAAAGTTTTGTTGGTAAATATGCGAACATTGATATCAACTTCACTGTTGGAGTTTTGCTATTCTGAGGGAGGACACTTGTGAAACGGAGCTTGCGGCAGTGTTCTTACTCCTTCCGGTTCACTCCCATTTAGTTCTTCTACTCTACCTTTGTTCTATCTGTTCTATATTCTTCTACTCTTCTACTCTACTCTAAGTCTATCTTGTAAGTTTATGCTAACTACATACAATGTTACATCTTAGAATTGATGGAAACTAAATGTAACCTGGCGCAGAGATGCTTTAGAAATGGTTTCCAATGATGAGCAACTCAGACCGAATTCTAATAGCGTGCGCTCCCAGTTAGGGGGAGTCAAACCTCCTAACACGGAAAGTCTTGACTTTTCTGGCACATTATTTGCCCCCACTGTTACTTTTTTGTTCCTCGCTAATGATGTTTCTATAGTTGTTGAAGTCGCTTTATGCGTTTTACTCAGAAGCGCTTTTTATTTTCTCCGTAGAATTACCTTAAATACGGTAGTGCTAATCGTTTTCACCAAGTTATTTAAATTTTTTTCTCTTGCGGTCTAATAGCTAATAGTTTTATCTTGATTGAGAAAGTGTGTCATGGAAGTCTGTCGACATTGATATTACCCATTTTCTTAGTGAAATGATATGCCGGATTAAACAAGGTGGTAATCATAGCTTGGAGAATAACAAAAAGTCGGCTCTAGCCGCGACCTTTTGGGAATTTATAACAATAAACGTCAGGGCTTTATTGAGGTGAAGTTCCCCATGCTCATCGTTGCCCAAATTCCACTGTGGAATTCCAAAAAACAGCCACCGTTAGCTATTAATTAATTAAGTTATTAATGTTAATGCGACACTGTGGACGAAAATGGCATTTGTTCCCAAGCCATTCTTGTCAGACGCTAATGTTTTCGCAAGTACTCGTAATTTTAAGGACTTACATAACAGCCATTTACTTTCTATATGTACAAAAGAATAAGCTAAGTGTTTCCAGAAAAGTTGAAATTCTGAAAAACACCAAGCGTCGCCACTAGTTCGCTATTTG